GAGGGGCGATTGCCGCCCCTTCATACGCTCCTAACGCAGGCTCACCTCACGGGATCGACGGGATGCGCTGGGCATTGCCCATTTACAGGGTTTTGTCTTGCGAATTGCCTAATGCTAGGGCAGCTCACTATATACCGACAGGGAGCCGCCCCCCCCCCCCCACCCCCAATAATCCGCGCCTGCGTGCCGACGCCCATCTCGTCCGTCTCGCGCCGCCACGCGGAGCAGTCAACTCGGGGCGTCCGTCTGCGACAATGGCCAATGGGGAGGCCTCCCCCCGCCCCGCCTCACCCCGCCCAGAGGCTGTGCCAGCCTGCCAGGACGCGGGCAGGATGGGGCGGCGGACCGGGCGGGCGGAAAGGACTCGACGGGAAGTCTCAAATGGACCCTTGGAAGGTTATTTGGACTCTCGACCCCGTCACATCCCGCCCGGGCCCGGGCCCGGCCCCGGCCGCGCGGGAGCGGAGGGACCCCCGGCGGACTCGGCGGCGGAAGACGGACATCAGAAGCATGTCCAAAACTACGTACTGTAGGCTAATACAAGAAAAGTCTTGTAGTCTTTTGGTATAGGTGGCCAAACCTCCGCAAACCTCTCCGCTCTTCTTTTACTCTTTCTCGAACTGAGTACAGTACGCACAGCATGCCGCGAAATTCCATCCAAGTATATTCGAATCATTTTGGCGGCGATGAAGACTCATGGCACCTCCCCGCATTGGCAGAAATGCCTCTAAACAAGGCCTGGGTGCGGGCCGGCCGGTGACAAAGAGCGTGTGGTGACAACCTGATGACTTTGACGGTTTCGGCCGGTCCCCGCTGGCCGGGCCGGACGTAAGGAGGCTCGCCTACCGCCTTGCGCCTTCTATTGCCCTTTCCCGTACAGTGGCCCTGGGGACGCCGCCGCACCGCGTCGCACAGCGCCGTGATTGGTTTGAACGGCTGAACGGCGACTTCCGCGGCCTGAACAACATCCCGCCGACACTCCAGCACGTGCCTCCGTCACATCCGTCACACGACAACTCACGCCAATTCATTCGCTAATTCCATTACTTTTTTTCTGCTTCAAAAACCATAGTTTCGATCATATTTTAGCCTTAAAAAACTTTTGACTAAACATAAAGAATATATAAGTAACTTTAAGGCGTCAGCTAGCTTTTACTTTCGATAAGGACAGAGAACCAAGCGCATGACGTCACCCAGTCCTGGATGCCGGCCGCTCTGCCCACCGTCCCTTTTCTCTTCTCTGTGCCATGCCGCAAGTCCGCCAAATTCGAGATAGCAAATTAACAAACAACAAAATAAGAGAAATTTAGGACCCAGGCATATCCTTAATTGTTTTTTTAA